GCGGCTCACAGGTCTAGAGAAGGGGGCAGAGGCTGCTCCCAGAGGCTGTTCCCTCCCCCCCACTTCCTCCTTACCCGTATCCATGGGTCGCTCCGTGTTAAGGCTGTCTGTGCTGCCCTGATAATGCTGGCCACCGAGAGCTGCCTTCCCCGGCTGATCGGACAGCTTGCCGGTGCTCACCGATCTGGGAGGGAAAGAAGGAAAAGATCTGGGAGAACGGCAAGATCTGAAAAAGCTGAGGCTGCCCGGAGGGGAAGGGCCGGGTCTCTGAGGGCTCCTGATCTCCAGGAAGGCACGTCTGTTGGGCTCTCGGCTGACCCTACTTGGGGTTTAACCCAGGCCTGGGCCTGAACCAGAGACAGCGCGGCTGATCCTGGCCGACCAGGCGGTCCTCCCACCCGGCTCTGGCCCTCCAAGACAGGAGCCCCCGTTCTGGGTCCTGTTCAGGTGCTCCCAGCCCAACTCAGAGCTCGGAAAAGCTATTTTTTTAAAATATGGAAAACAAACTTTGCCCAGAATCTACCTGCCGAACACCGTCTTGCCGTGGGGGTCTGCTGGCAACCGCTCACTCGCCTGGGTGGCGTGGAAGGGAGAGAATTCCCTGGCGTTGCCCACCTCTTTGGCCTGGGGTGCCAGCAGGCCATCGGCTGCCCCTTGGCGACTGACCAGGCCCACCAAGTTCGAAGACGCCTGGGTTTTCGGGATCTTAAAAGGAGCCGTGGCCTGGAGAGAGAGAGAAAGAATATATATATAAAAAGAAATAGCTCCCAATGAAGTCAGCAGGGTTTGCCTCTGAGAGGGCTGTAGTGTAAAAAAAACGACAGGACGTGCCCCCCCCAGGTCTATCACCTCAAAAGGCTGGGTGTCCCAACCCCTTTCCCCCCCCGCAGAAGAACCGTCTTCCCGGCGCCCACCTTTGTCGGGGAGCCGATGATGGTGGGCAGAGGGGTTTTGAAGAGCCAGTCCGAGCCGCGCGGCGAGGTGCCCGGGTGCTTAGTGGGCGAGGTGCCCAGGCTGACCGGCCGCGGGGGCTGCGGGGAGTGGCTGTAGCTGTAGCCGGCGTAGGAAGGGCAGACGGGGTCTGAGTGCTGCTTCCGGAGAAGCTTCTGCTTGTTCTGATAGATGTCCGTCAGGGTCGTCGGGGTGTTCTGGAGCTGGGCCCCCACCATCAGCAGGGACTGCGGGGACTGGGACTGGGGGGCAGCCAGGGGGCCTGAAAGGAGGAGAGGCAATTTTTTTTGGCTTCATCGCTCCGGGTAAAAAACCAATCCGCGGCACAGATTTTCACACGCGCACGCGATACAATTCGAAACGACCAGACCGAAGCCCTTCGTAGAAAAGAATCAAACGGAAACAGCCGCCCCCCCGCATGGGCAAAAAAGGAAACCAGGGAGCTTCTGTTGTCAACATCCAGAATGCGGTTACAGTTACTTTCCATTTTGACGCTGGGTATAAAGGTGGAGGAGGGGGGGCTTCTCTGCGTGCGGCTACCAAAAAAATCTGCACACCTCTAGTGGCAATTGTGACAAAACGCAATCAAGCGCACAACCCGAGACGCAACCCAGGTTTCCTTCAAACTAGTCTACGGAGGGGCTGAGGGACAGAGAAGGGTCCCCCTGAGCCCCGGCTTTGCTCCAAAGCCTCTTGAAAAGGGTTACCGAGGCGCTGGTTGGTGGGACGAGGCTCAAAAGCTTGCCCTGTTATCTCTGGGGATACACACGGAAGGCCGGGCTTTTCTGGTGCGCTCTTCCAGTTCCGTGCACTAAAAAACAGGTCAAGGCATCTCATCCCTCACCTGAGGCGTTCCGGCTCCTGGATTCGTGGCCTTGCCGCTGCCCGCAACAGCAGTGCCCGAGCTGCTCAGGTATGATGCCAGCTGCCAGTTGGGGGGAGGCAAGAGAGAAAGAGAGGAGAAAAGAATACGGGATTATTTTTCTTCCTGAAGGGAGCATCCGGTAGGACAAATACATCTCGGGCGTCCTTGAAAGGCGCCTTGCCCGAGAGACATCGCCAGAACCTCCCCCTTTCCGAGCTGGCTTTACCTAGTGGCGAAGGGGAATACGGCCTCGAAGACCCCGTGGACAGTCGGCGCCCCATGCCCTGCGCCGTCTCAGCTGGCACCGGAGAAGAGGAGCCGGTCTTCGGGAAGCCCAAGGGGCTGGTACTGGAGCGCCTCACGGCGGGGGACCTGGAAGCACGACCGAGAAGAGGAGCCGTTCCAGGAGACGCTGTGCCCACGAAGGGGGCTGAGCCGCCCAGTGAGGGAGGAAAAAATCCTCGCTTCCAGGCTGGGAAGCTCAGCGCGGAGTTCGAACCCACCGCTTCACAGCACGATTGATGAGAACAGTGTGGGCGCTTCCGCCCTTACCGGATTACTCCGTACGTTTAGTCCCTTTCTGTAAAGTCCGATGACCTGTTAAGAGGCCGCCCCTGTCTGCGCCCGCTCTGAAAGGACTCGTCCAACCCACAGAGAGCCACCTTGGATGGCTACAGTGCCGGATGAGGGCTGGGGAGACCGGGTTCAAATCCCCAGGCAGTCATGGGGCTCACTAGGGGACCTCTGGCCAGTTTTTCTCTCCCAACCTGAAATATCACAAAGGACTGCTGTGGTGAGATTAAATGAAAAACAGAAACACACCACCACCTTCCGGCCACCGAGGGAACGGCAGGCTAGAAACATCTTCATGTTTTTCTGGACTGCACCTCCCATAATCCTCCAGCCAACTCTTGACGGGGGGGGGGGGATGACGGGGATATGTAGTCCAAAAATTTAACACTTCCAAGTTCTGGAGAAATTTTAAGAATTCCGTATCTGTCCTGGGCCTACACCATTTGTTCCCCTTTGGCCCAGCTGTGGCCCTGCTACCTCTTTCACAACCTCCACCGAACAAAACCCAGTTCCTCTAAAAATGATCCATGGGCGTAATTATTCTATCCTTACAAAAGAACTTTTCTGAACTAACAGGAAAGGGGCACGAGATGGAAACGCAGAAGATTTCGAATCCCTTCTCCCCCTCCCAAAAAGCAACCTTTCAACCACGGTTTCTGTGAACTGGCAAATAACTTTATTTTGAAGGGAACGCACCGTGTCCTCGTCTGTCCCTGCCTGAGAAATCAACCTTTTCCAAACCTGTAAGCCAATGGGTAAGGGATAAAGAGACGGACCTAGGAGTGCTCTCTGGAAAAGCAGCCTTTCCAAACCTTCCCATCCTAGGGGCCTCCACCGGAGCCAGGAGCGGGTCTGGGGAAGGACCTTACCTCGGGGAGCCGTGGGGGTTCGTTCCGGGGCTGGCACTGGCGGCAGCTGAGGTCAGGTTCTGTTCGATCCGCTGGTAGTTGCGTCTCTGCGTGGGCACCGGGATGGGGGCCGTCTCGCTGCGGGGAGAGACCGAGGGCTGGCACTGCCTGCAGGGGGAGGCAATGGGAGGGGAGGGGAAGGGGGGCAGACAAACCTATAGGCGACCTGCACCATCGCTGGGAGTTCACGAAACCCCCCCGGGAGTAAGGAGAAGCAGATCGGCAGACTCCCCAGCAGACGAGCCTGGGTCTGTGAGAAAAGAGTGATCTCGGGGGCTGGCACTAAACCAGCCAAAGGCGCCCTGGAAAAATCAATCCAGCCGCAGGAGGGAAAAGCATTTCCCGCCCCATGACCGGAAGCGTTTCAAAAAAGAACAGATTCTAGGAAAACCCACCCCCTGGGAGAGAGAAAGAACAGGAAGTTCAGGGCCAAGGACGGCTAGGTCTGAACGGGAGTGTTTATTTGTTCAAGGCTCCAAGGCTGGAGACTCGCATAGAAGGAGGCTGGATGGGCTGGGCAAAAAAAAGCAGTTTATGTAATCGATCCTCCCACCAGTGGCAGAGGGCAAACCAGCTAGAACTGAACACCTGAGGTCCGGCGGGAGACGGGGTGGGGTGGGGACTGAGCTGCTGCCTCCTCAAAGGTCTAAAAGCCTGGAGTCCTCGAGAATAGCTGGGCAAACTCAGTGGCATTTCAGGGGATAAAGGAGAGCTTTTCTCCTACTTTCGTAAATGATCCGCTCAAGAGTTGCAAGCTACGACTGGAACTGATGATCTACAGGGTCCCGTCCAGCTCTGCAGTTCAAAGATGAGGAGGATCAAACGGAAATCCCCAAAAGTCTTTGTTACAAAGACAGGCAGCCCGACGCAAAAATTGACCCGCACAAGCCTGTTGGATCAGGCAGCAGGTGGGTCTGGGTTTCCTGGTAACCAACAAGAATCCAGTTGACCCGCACAAGCCTGTTGGATCAGGCAGAGGTGGGTCTCCCTGGTCTGAGTTTCCTGGTAACCAACAAGAATCCAGCGGATGCTTCTGGGAAGCCCTCGAGTAGAGAATATGAGAAAAATATATATTTCTTTTTGCCCCTAATGCTGGGTTATTTGGGTGGGAAAGCACCAGGACTATGAGGACAAATTCCCAGATTTAAGCCCACCAGGTATGGGCTCTGCACAATGTCCTATTAGATCCCACGCTTTCCTCTAAAACAAAAAAACCCAAACCCGATTATACATAAATCAATCTAGGAAGGTTTCAGACAGAAGAGAAAGGTAAAGGTAAAGGTTCCCCTTGACAATTTTTGTCCAGTCGTGTTCGACTCTAGGGGCTGGTGCTCATCCCCGTTTCCAAGCCATATAGAGCCAGCGTTTTGTCCGAAGACAATCTTCCGTGGTCACATGGCCAGTGCGACTTAGACACGGAACGCTGTTACCTTCCCACCGAAGTGGTCCCTATTTATCTACTTGCATTTGCATGCTTTCGAACCGCTAGGTTGGCAGGAGCTGGGACAGGCGACGGGAGCTCACTCCATCGCGTGGATTCGATCTTACGACTGCTTGTCTTCTGACCTTGCAGCACAGAGGCTTCTGCAGTTTAGCCCAGAGCGCCACCACGTTGGCGCTGTGAGAAAAGACACTACTAAATAAAGAAATATCAGATCTTTAAGTTCTTGCATCCCTCTGTTGTCATGGCTCTCTTCTTGACACCTTGAATTCTTGAAACACAGAGGAACAGGATTTTAAAACGAACTCCCTCGACACCTTGAATTCTTGAAACACAGAGGAATAGGATTTTAAAACAAACTGTTAAGCTCGTCTTTAAAGAAAAGGTGGGGCCTTTTTAACAAAGACATGTTAAAATGAGCCCATTTAGTGCTGATTTCGTTAGCACCCCATTTTCTCGAAATGCATCCTGAGGATTAAGCAGGCTATTGCTGCGTCTTTGGGACTCGTTTCCATACTCTCTAACCACGATGGGCCGGAGCTGGTGAGAACTGGAGTCCAGCAACATTTGGGGAAGGGCACAGATTCAACCCTACCTCCACCCCACCCACCCCCCACAAAAGAAAGCAGGAGAGCAGAACAGCCACTAAATAAACGCAGGACACATCTCGTGCAAGACTGTATAAAGTGTGTGTGTGTTTAAGGGGGAGGCAGGGGAGAAGGCAGACAACAGCCCACGACCCCAGCAGGGTAAAAATCGCTAAAAGGATAGGAACGGGGACAGAGAGCAGGGGAACCGCCGCAGGGGGCGGGGCGGGGGGGAGCAGAGACACACCTGTCGGCTGAACCAGAAGAGCTACTTCTGGAGGAGTTTGAGGAAGGCTTCTGAAAAACGCCAGAGCTCCCCGAAATCGCTAACGGAGATGGTCTGTTAAAGGTGACACAGAGCAGTTAAGGGAAAGGGGGGAACGACAGCAGATGGGTGGGTTAAGCCCCCCCCCGCTCCCCAAACATCTGGCAGAATCTCTCTCTCTTTTTTTGAAACTTGTCCATCAAGTTTCACCCCATTTCAGGCATCCGCCTTGCGGTGAGGATGAACACGCAAAAACTACCGTATTTTTCGCTCCATAAGACGCACCTTTCCATAAGACACACCAATTTTTAGGAGAAGAAAACAGGGAAATATAATCTGTTTTCTTCGCTCCATAAGACGCACAGGCTTTCTATTCCCCTGTTTTGTGGGGAAAAAGTGCGTCTTATGGTGCAAAAAATACGGTACCATTCTTGAACAACCAGGGGGGGTGCGTCTTATGGTGCAAAAAAATACGGTACCATTCCTGAACAACCTTTCTTAGTGCTTGGGTTACTTCGAACACAGTGCTCCACCTCTTATTTCTCCTGGATCTTTTATCTCCATAGATGACCCTGCAGCAGCACAGAGCCTGTGGATGCTGGCAGAGGACCTCCCTTCCCCCGTGGGCGGCCCTTGACAAATCCTCTGTGCCTCTGGTCCCCGAGACCTTTTAATACTTCCTGCCGTGGCCTTACATCAAGTGCAGGGAGGGCTTGGTCCATCACGCTGGGCCCTTCCCGTCGTAGTTCTAATTTCACATAAAATTCCCAGGGGGAGGCAGGTCAGAAGAGGGGAGTGTGCGCCAAGGTGTGTTCCCCCCCCCCCGGTTATCAAAAGGAGGCACGGTTTTAAGAAGTCTCAAGCCCACCACCCCGAAAGGGTGGCCCGACAGCTCTGGTTTCAGTGTCGCTGTGTTTTCTGACAGCGGGACTTAAAACCCATCACGCTTACCCTCCGCAGATCAGGAACTCGCTCGAGGCCCGCCGCCCGGCTGTCGCCAAAGGCATGTCGTCTGTGCCACAAAAAAAGAAGACACCCCACAAGACAAAAGGGTTAGCCCATATAATCCACAAGAGCGACAGAGGCTGCAAAAGCAGAACGGCACAAGTTTTTTCTCCGGGGAAAGGCTTCCCTCTCCCCAGAGAAACACATTATATACATGTGATAAAAGCTTCACAATCAAGTGCAAGGAAGATTCCTTGAAAGCTCCGCACCGCAAGGTGGCTAATCTGCAATACCTAATTCGCATTAGCGCAAAACTGGCATCATTAAGGCAGAAAAGACGGGCATGTAAATTCATGCAATTAAACGTGTACACCCCAGGCTAGAAGAGCAGGGAGTCCGAGGTTATGTCTCCTGTTAAACACTCCTGACCAAAATTAAAATCCTCTATTAAAAAAACGTTCTCTGCCTGTCAAGACAAACGTCTTCTGAAGAGGTAGCCGTGATCATTAAGTCTGTCTCAGGACCACGAGAAGATGAAAGGGAAACGCTCTTTAATTTTCCCGTTTTCTTCTCTTTAATTTTGAAACAAGGAAGGCCTCGTTTGGTGCCAACCGTGTTTTCCAAGCTGTTTTAGAGGTTTCTTTGCTTTTCCTTTGTTTGTTTGTTTATCCCCTGGGAAAAAATCCAAAATTTAAGAGGAGCTTCCCAAGGAGGGCTCTGAAGCTCCCAGCCCACAGGTAACCTAGACCAGCCCCCTTCACTGTTGTCTCTCTGCCAGAAGGCAGAAACCCCCCCTTCTTTTTAAAAAAAATATTTTTAAATGCAGACAACCCAGAGGGCTGTCTCTGTGGCATTTCACTGAGGGGGCAGCCACATGGTTCTGGAAGTCCCCGAATTTTGGACCACCGCGCAGCAGCAGCAGCTCCAGAGGCAGGAGGGCCTCGGGGTGCAAGGGGCTTACAGGATGGGTCGGCGGCGATGTTGTGGGGCACCAGGACGAAGTCCTCCGCGTCGCAGGAGGAGTTTTTGCTGCTGGTGCTGGCCGAGTCCTTCGAGACCTGCAGGTAGTTCGGTGGCCCCAGTGGAGGGGACGAAAGGGTGTCCTCGGGAAGGGGCGGCATGTCCGGGAGAGACTGGAGAGCAAAGGAAGAGGAGAGGATCAGCGTCCGGAAGATTTGGGGGAGGATGGGGTCAGGATGCCAGCGGCAGCCTGCCGGCTGCATTCTGCCTGCTTTCGGATTGCAAATGTGAGGGAGGCCGACGGGAAGCGAGAGAGAAGCAAGAGCAGGAGAGAGAGAGAGAGAGACCGTCTCTCGCCAAGGTTGTCCCCCGGGGCCACCCAGATCCTCCCAGGCGATGCTCCTCCAGGTGGCCATGCCGAAGGAGCCAGAACACCACAAGAGGTCGGGCTGGGTCAGTGGTGGTGCTGTCCCTCTGGGTCACCCTCCCGGTGCAGCTACGCTTCCGCCCCCCCCCCCCCCCCAGCTGAAAAGACATCTTTCTCAAGAGGTGTTGGAAGGCAGACCTTATTGAAGGGATTTTCCTCTATCAGCCCGCTCTGTTTTGCGGAACCATCTGTTTTTTCACACGGATGCATTTTTGCCTGGACTGGTTGTTTTACTTATTAATTTACTTATTTAACACATTTTCACCCCACTTTATTCCCAAACTTCGTAGGTTTGCTCTCATTTTATTGTTCTATAGGTACACATAGGTGTAGACAAGGGGTGCAAACCCCTCCAATGCCAGAAAGAAAAAGAGAGAGAGAGACCGTCTCTCGCCAAGGTTGTCCCCCGGGGCCACCCAGATCCTCCCAGGCGATGCTCCTCCTTGCCCATCCTTGCACCCACCTGATTCTGCCCATCCAAAGCTTCATCCCCGAGCGTTCTTTCCAATCTTTGTCTCTCTGTCTTTGGAATTAGTCTACCATTTCCCCTTAAAGATTTCACACCATGCCTCTTAAGGACTAAAAACTTAGTGGTTTAACAAACTGCAACTCCCAGGTTTCTTTCCCGCTTGCCCTGCTGGCTGGGGTGTCTGGGAAGTGGAATCCAACCCGTGCCAAGGAGAGCCAATGTTCATCCCCAAGCCTGCCGGGATGGGTGGGGAAGGGTTCGCAGGACGCAGAAGCGGCCAGAACTTTATCTTGAGAGGCCAAAATTCCCCCCCATCCCATCCCATCCCCAACCCCTTCGCTTCCCAACCCAGAACGGAACGGAACGGCACTTACAGGGGGAGAGGCAAAGTGGCAGGAGGGAGAACTGCCACAGCAGCTGCCAGACACGGAGCCAGTGTAGGCCGGCACGGGCACAGGACAAGCTGGAGAAAAGAGGGGGGTTGGAAAACAAGGTAAGGAAAGTGCGGTTCACCCAAAGGACACATTTCTTAAAGCCCGTGTTAGGGAGCACCTGCCTGGGGTCCGTCCCCCCCCCCCGGAAACACCCAAGCGGTGGCAGACGCAAGACTTTGGGGCATCTTTATATCCCATAAAAGGTGGAAAGAAGCCACAGAAGCGGGTTGGGCAGGGCCACGTAAACCACAGAGCATC